TCCTCCCCCCGTACGCGGTGGGCTTCGGCAGCAGAGGCCGTGCGTTTCGTTTGCCGACCTCCGCGAGCGTCGCCGCGAGCCGACGCGAGGCAGCGTTCGCCCGCTGTCGCCCGGTTCCCCCGCCGAGCGGAGTCGGCCCGTTTCACTTAGCCCGGCATTCTGCATCCGCCGTGTATTTGTGGGCCGCGGGGAGGAGATTGACACGTCGACGACACATTTCCGAGGTTCACAAATGTTCCAATCGGACGCGAGGCTGCCGGGGGGGGGGACACTCGCAGGGCGGACGTTGAATCTCCGTTCAAGCCACATTGATGGATCCAATCAGATGTTTTTATCTTTAAAAAAAAAAATGGTTCCCCGGGGAAGGGGGGGGGGGTGTTCGGGGGGAGGACAGCTGGCGTCAGAGAGCTCTATCGATGCAGCAACAGCTGCTTTACAACTCGGTTTATCTCTCTGTCGCTGGTCGCAACTCAATTTATCAGGGAGTTGGTTTGAGCGCGTGGGACCGGGGAGGAAACGGCTCGCCTCGGATCTCTTAGCCGCGTAAACCAAGCACGCGGCGGGTTTATGTTTCCTTCTGTGTCCCTTGCCTTTTATGTGAACGGCGTAATTGAACCAGTAAAGAACGAGACATTTTAAATGCCGGCGCTGCGGCGGCACCAGGTATTTTCAAATCAAATTGATGCCGTTACTTGGTTGAACTGACTCAAGATGATATACACTTTAAATAAAGGTGTGGGTGTGTGTCTGTATTTAACGAATGAAAGACTGCCAATTAACTCTGGCTGCGTTGAACATAAGAAATCACTTTGAAACTGCACACCGTGCCCGCTTACTGCCGCAACAGCGAGGCCGTTTGATACCTTTGACGGCGCCGCGGCGCCTCGCAGCACCCGAGCGCGATGTGACCCCGGAATCAGCGGGTGATTTATCGCTCGAGTGTGCACGCCGCGGACGGCTACTCTTTTAATTGAGGATGCTCCTGCGACGCAAAAAAAAAAAAAAAAAAAACGACGTGCGCTTCGCGGTGTCAACAGCGATCGTATCACGGGGTGAAAAGCCAAACAGGAAACTGATCAGACATGACAGCTCCGTCGGGGGATCTGGTTTCCCATCAGAACGCTTAAAGGTCAACAAAAACTTAAGCGTTAATGTTGCGCCGCTCACATGGAGACTGTGCTCATGGAAGCTGCATGCCGGCCATTTTGGGGCTTTTGATTTCCGGGCTCTCTGCGCTTCAACGGGGGGGCTTTTATTTTGTAAGATGCCGCAGTCGTTTGCCTGATTGGGGGGGTAAAAAAAAAGGGTTTATTCCAAGGCAGCTCCAAATGGAGTCCAGCGTATCAGCTTTCTCAATAATTACGAGGGAGAGCCCAGATGAAAGGGGGCCGTAGGACTTTCAGCGTACTTCAAAAGGGACAACCAATGAAATTCTTACCCAAAATAAGACAGAAAAACCTTTAGTCTGTTGGTATTCAGGATTCACCGTGACAAAGCAAGAAAAGAAAGCCGGAGCTCATTATCTCATAGGACTCCCAGAGCATTCAATGGGAGCACCGTATGAACACTGGCTGTTGTCACATGCTTCATATTTAAGGTCTTTGCAGAGAACAGTGTGTCGAGGGGCGGACAGGCTGTTGTGTTTTGCGCCGTGTGCATCATCCAGACTCTGACAAGTTAATTAACATCATGAAATGCATCAGTTGGCAATGTTCTGACGTGCGCTCCCTTTAAAGGAAACAAAGCTCTGAGGGTGAACTGGCATTTAAAAGAACTGTATTTTACAGCTGATTGGCGTCGCGTATTATCAAACTTGAAGAAAATACAGTTCTAGCATTGTTTAACGCCGAGGAAGCTCAAGGTTTATCTTTCACTGAGTGGGTGGCGCAGAGCGTGAAATGCAAAATCAACTTTGCTCCGAAAGCTGGTTTCAACGCCCCATTGTCTGTGATTCGGGCGCAGCCGGTAAATAACCTGTAACATGTCACGATGGAGTGATGTTGTCGACGTGCAGGAAATGCAGCTGAGCCCCTTTGCATCTAAAGCAGCTGTAATCCAAAAAGGAGATGTTGCGTTTGCCGCCACACTCCTGCTGCATAAATAAAAAGAATACTCCCCACAGTTTTGTGAATGCAAAATCAAGGCCTTGAAACAAGCTTTTATCTTAACTAGGACACCTCAAAGTAGTTTCACTGCACGGCGCGTGAACCTTACTCATCACTAGCAGCGGGAACAGTCACCCTTATTCATCCTTACTCTTTTCGTTCCAACAGAGCCGATCTGTTCAGGCATGTGGACCGAAAAACAAACGCATCTACTGTGAGTCGCTCACATGTCCTTCATCGTACCGAACACACGGACGGAGCACATGAAAGGACGACAGAAGGACGACGTGGTGACGCGGAAACCGGGAGGCGGGAACACGGGACCGTCCAGCCAGGTGGGCTCGACCCCGCCGCAAACACCGCACAAGTGTGCCGCGTCAGCCGGGGAAAGACGGACGCCGGGCAAACTGAAATTACACGGATCCCTCCGTCGGCTTTTGATTCTAAATGGTCGGATCACATCAGGATAAGAGGGGATTAAACAAAGTGTTCAATTAGTATATCAAGGGGGTGTTGGAGCACATTGAGTGTGTAAAAGGGGGAGAAGATCCAGGGAGGCTTAGCGGAGTCGGGCCTCCGCTGATAAAACAATAAGATGCTGTGTTACCGTCCAGTGTGATGCTGACATGTTCACATTAGTCCTCAGCACATACTTAATCCACCGGAGCCACACGGATGTTTTCTTCTACTTCATCCAATAAAAGCAGAGGCCTTGCTTTTAGAACTAACCTTTGGGACATTATTACGGATGCATTCACATTGCACCAAAGGATTGTTGGCGTTGATCCCGTTCAACCGCTGTTTACACTTTGCATTTGTTTTAACGTCTAACAAAGAGTGCGGAGGACAAAAAAAGCGCATGGGCTTCTTTAGTTGGGGGGCTCCACCTGTGCTCACAGAACTTGGGATACAAATAACGCCAGGAAGCAATTGACTTTGAAGCAGATTTTATATCGTGGCCTCCGGGTCTATTTTTAAAAGAGGATTATATGACACAAGGTTGATGCATTTTTCTTGAGATTGCAATAGAAGCATCAAGAGGATTCCAGCGTAAGACCATGAACTAAAAACGTTTAAAAAAAAATAAGCTGAGACTCACGATGGAAGCAAATAATCAGCTAATAATCAATTACTGAAGGTTATTCTTTTGTTTTAGTTTAGTTTATTTAATTTAATTTAATAATTTAATATTTCTTATCTTATTATTATAATATGTATCTTTTAATTCTATTTTCTTCCCTGTACATGCTGCTGTGACACCAAAATTTCCCTCTTGAGGGATCAATAAAGTATCACGTGACCTCCCAGCTAGTCGCCCACTGATGTTTGATCGGGTCCACATTAATTACAAAGTGTGCTGTGTTTTCAACTAATAAGTGTGCGTTTAGACTTACTCTTGATTAACAGTGCTTGATGATTGCGCATGAGACCAGCGACAGTCGGGCCCACTGGTAGATTGTGATTACGTGGGGAAAATTAAAAGCAAATGCAATGCGGCGACTTCTTCGGTATCACTTGTACAAGCCGCCGAAGTTCAAAAGAGTGTTTATTGCATGAGTTCCATTTTTCATTACAAACGCATCTATTAAAGCCACGTTAAGGTCACATCGCTTTGAGCTGACATAATGGCTGCGCTCTACCGGGAATCTGTGGCGAAGATTTACATAAATTACAGATGAATGTAAGGTTGTCATAAATCAAAACCTGTGTTTCCACATCTCCATTAAGATCGAGTATAAACAAAGCATTCAGGAATAACATTAGCGCTTCTCCCCGTCCCGCCTCTGTTCCACGCGCACCTCATGCTAATGTCATACCTGCCTACGAGCCGACACACAGAAGGTGGGCAAGTAAGGTCAAAGGTGACAGGCATTTAGTGCAATGTGAGCAGGTAGAGACACTCTTAGCCAGCAGTGTTAATTTTGGCAGCTATTTTTGATTTAGTCTTAGTCTTTAGACGAAAATGCATATTAGTTTTAGTCACATTTAGTCATTTTAATCCTTCTTAGTTTTAGTCGACAAAAACTAGACTAAAATGTAATTAGTTTTAGTCACATTTAACAGCCATGTTAAACTGCTTTTCTTCCCTTCTCAGGCCCAGGGACCCCCTGTGTTGTGTCTACAGCTGCATAATGGTCCAGCTTGCAGTACTTGGTTGTCCATTAGATGTCCCCCCCTAGGACAGGTCTACAGGAGGGGTCGGCGAACTTTTTGACTCGCGGGCCACAATGGTTGTGGGTTCGTGGATGACGTCATCATGACGCGTTAACATCCACCGTACTTTGCCGGTCTGTCAGCTGCGTGCGAATTTAGGGGGGATATCGTGACTTCGTCAACCACCAACGTGTTCGTCTCGCCTCGTTAACGAAAGTCAGAATAGATTTAGTCATAGTTTTTATTTTTTTAGATCGTTTTCGTCACGTCTTAGTCATGGAAAAAAGGTCGTTGACGAACATTTTTCATCCTAGTTTTCGTCGACGAAATTATCACTGTCAGCCACTTTGTCTCTCTGTCTTTTTACCGTAGTGTAACGGACTGTGTTTAGCGTTTAGAGATAATATGTCCCTTCAGTGTTGCCGTAGAGGCAAAAGGGGTTCCCACCGAAGTCATGAGTGCATCATCCACAAAAATAATAAAAATAATAATCCAGCGCCTGTTAGCACTGTAAACATGCGGCGTGGTGGTGTGTGTGTCCCCCCGGTGAGGTAACATGTCTAATCACCATCACGTGTTGTGTGACGTACGCAACTCTCCACAAGAAAATAAATCCATGCTGCTCTTTCCTCCTCCTCATATACGTTCTCATGCTGCAGAACTCTCCCTATGATTAATGAATCATAAAAAAGGACACTTAAGATATGGACGTGTCGTCGTGTTTAAGAGCTACATTATTGTCATCACTGTGAGAGAGGAAATGAAACCAGGCAGAATCATGTGCAAAATACAAACACCCTCTGTGTTACCGTCTTTCTCACACACGAAGCGAATGTTTAGAGTCATACAAATGATGTAATTTGGGAACATTAAAATGGCCCCATTGAGATACAACGTGTTGAAGACTGCATACGGGGAATAAAGAGACGGCCTTTAAAGTGAAACCAGACAAATTCAAATGCCGGGTATCAAATCCAGGCCCACTGCTGTTAAATATATGAAAGAAAGGTCTTTCATATATTTTCAAATTTTGGCAGATTTCTGCAAGAAGCTTAACACTAAGCAATTCTGTTTGGGGAAACTTGAAATATTAAATACATCACATTTGTGATCGCGTTGAGATGGAGGTTTCAAGCGTAAATAACCAAGATTCAAAAGGACCTTTATTTTCTAATTATCCACAAGAACTCGGCCAAATATTTCAGGAATTCAATGAATATATTTGAATAATGAACAGCGTACAATGACTTGTTATAGTGCTTTTCAATTTATCAGGCGCATTGCTCACTTGTACGTGAAGAAAACAGGCTTCTGACATTATTCAATTAACAAAAACCACAGAAATAATACAAGTATTTTAACGCGCCTCATTCATTAAAAATTACCTCGCCATTAACCTGTCAGGATCACATGATTAACAACGCCAATTCAGCGGCCGCACAAGAGATGAAAAAGCCGAGTCGATTGCCTGGGTCTCATGGCATTTAAAAAAAAAAAAAAAAGCTTGATTGCATAGATGCAATCTTGACTCTGAACCCCCCTCAGAGGCTCCGTGGCGATAACCACGGCGAGCAGTAGCTGTCACGGCCGGGCAGTATGACTCACGCCAGGCGCGAGAATGATGTCCCGGGTGAGTCTCCTTTCGCCCCACTGGGAGTGCGCACTGTCCTGCTCCTCTGGTGTCTTAGAGTGTCTCGGGCCCAGAGGTCAGCGTCTCATTTTACACGGACAAAAAATCTATTACAAAAAAAAAAACCTCTCTCTCTCTCTCTCTCTCTCTCTCTCTCGCTCGCTCGCAATAAACCCGCCGGGGGAAACGAGGCTTTCCTCTAATTGTTTTTCCTTGGCTGCGAAGCCGGCCTGGTTCTGAGTGAACGCGGTGCACGGCGTGCCTGTGATTGGTGCGCAGCTCATTCAGACCCATCACTCACACACCGCTGTGTGTAGTGCGGCATTATTCATTCCGGGAAGGAGTGTGTGACTTTGCATCTACATTGGACTCAAAGTGAACTGTGTATTAAATAAACCACTCCTATGTTATGGACGCATTAATCAGGTGAAGATCCATGGGTGACCTGCTGTGGAACGCCTGGGTGTTGCGGCGAAAGCGATGCATCCTGGGAGTCCTTGAACTGGCTCCTCTTACTCAGTTTCCTTTCACAGTAATTTACTTTTCATTGACGACATATTACGGAAAGATACTGTTATCCTGCTGCCAGTAATCAACCCTAATATTACGGTATTTGTGCGGACCACCTGTATGTACACACACACACATGAACCGTGTGGGAAGAAGAGGAGGATGGCATCTAATTAAAAAGAGTTAACGACAGAAGTGTTAATGCAGAGTTTTTAGGGCATTCAGTATTCATCCTCTTACTCTTTTTGTCTGTTTTTCTTCACAGAACACAGGAGCATGGACCGGGCCGCGTCGAAGCTCCTTTGAAATTGACAGAAGGCTCAAGTAGCTCTCTCGGCTTTTAACTTGGAGCTCTGAAACAGCAGGGCGCCTAATCTGAAAAGGCCTTTTCATTTGTTGCGGCAGTGGAATCCTTTAATGGCATCTCTGCACCTGCCGAGTCCCCGGAACACAAAACGTGCTGAGTGACGTCTGCTGCGATCGCGGCCGCAGTGCCGCATCTTTTGTAAGTATGGAACTCAAGTGTATTATCTGTTTTTCTAAAGAATTAAGTCTGAACATCTTCTTCTGTACACTGTGTTCTTTTTTGCACCAAAGACGAGATGCTAAAAGAGAAAAAAAAGGATGAAGTTATAAGCACTTTTTCTTTTTTTTTTTATCTTCCTCTTCGTCTGCACATTCGCGTTAGGGGTCGACGCGGAATCATAGATTTCCATCTCAGTGACGACCCGCTCCCTCAAGCAATGCAAATCAGAACGTGTGACCCACATATTGGTCTCCCACAACATGCCGGATATCCCGTTCTGGGTTGTGTGAGGAAACCAGAGAGACCAGGGATCAAAACCCGAATGCTAATCACGGCACCTTTCATTCCCACGTAGAGCTCCTACCACATCGCCTCTATTATGAACAACATCCAGCGATATACTCAACTTTTACAAAAAGGCCCCGAAGGAAATCCAAACCAATCAGATATGACAACACCTTGTTTGTTTGCTTTTGTCAAATTGTCAAAAGCAAGTTGGCGTCTCCAAGGAAGGACGCACTCCTGGTCGAGGACGCATGTACTTGAGTTTATACAAAACTACCGCTAACCGCTAAGCGCTAAGCGCTCTCTTATGGGTTTGTCTCTGCAGGGGGTGAAGATGACTCGGTAAACGGAGTAAGAAGCTGGACCAAAATGATGAGGAGTGGACGAGTGAATAGAAGCCCTGACAAAGCCTTCGAGGAAAGGTCACGTCTCAAGGGAAGGAATCTTGGCGGCGTTTAACTCGGCGTATAGAGGAAATTCAAGGACCGCCACTTGAAACGGTGCGATGAGGACAGCCGAGAAGACGCCGCAGGTTTTCTTCTTCAGCAGTGAACTGACATGGATCCAACCGATAATCAGCGTCATCAGTTTGACCCCACAAACAGTTTCGAAGAGCTCATTTGAATTTCTACACGTTCTTTCTCCTTCTTTTACTGTACAGAAATCCCTGATTGTCATTAGTAAATATGTTTTAAGCTCATTTCTTCAAAGGATTTGATCTTGCGGCTCAATATCAGATTGTGGCAACTAAAGCACAATGAGATGTTCTCATTGTGTCTTTGCAGCAGTTAGTCGAGGTCAGTGAAAGATCGGCACGCGACGTACAGGACAACAACCTCTGGCATATAGTAGATAATAGAACTTATTAGCTCCTCGACTTGAAGTGCCCACAGTGTTTTAAGGCCGTCCACTTACTGGGCCCATAATGACCGGGAATAGAAGCAAAGGACGATGCAGAAAGGCAGCAAAAGACAAATGAGAGAAGTGTCTGAACTCGTAGTTGTTATCTAACAACTTCCCCCTGCTGATCACTTCAGTGATTTTTTTTAATTTAGATAGCGTCAATCAGAAAATCACTCGTTGTCATTTAGGTCTGACTTTATTTATGTGCTTTTCATAATTTGATGTCAAGTTACTGTGAAGCTTGCACAGATAAGAAACACATCACGTGAACAAATGCTGCTGTATGACTATCAGATATTCAACGGCTTCTGCGCACACACTGATGTTGCATATTATATACGTCCCGTTGAACAAATGTGTAGCGCTTGTCAAATTTCATTATGTTGTTTTCACAAAGGCACAGGATGTGTCGCTAAAGCCACACACAAACCTGTATGAATAGGCTAACATATAGCATATACATGTTACCAATAGCATTATTGTTCTTTAGCAGCAGGTACTGTCTTCAGCAGGTGTTTCCAGGTGTGGATTAATCCACATTTGGTGCTCTGGTGAGTACTTACAGGAGCAGAACGGTGTATATGGGGTCACATCAGAATACACCCAAGTGCCTGCGTTGGTGGTAATGAGGGACATTGTCACCCAGTGTACTGACAGATGGGCTTTAACATCTGTCGGACAAGAATGCAGCGCTAAGACGGCCAACAGTCTCCCATGTTAGGCCTCGGCTAGTTCACAATCAATCCTTTATTTGGTCTATTAAAGGAGACGTGTTGGTTGTAATAGAAATGAAACATGTAATAATGATCTAATTATCTGACTTTGAAGGGGGCACTATAGAAAATCAATGAATTTACTTATTGCAGATGTCATTTGCTTGTTTGCCTCCCTTTGGGACTACGCCTCGTCACAGAGACAAGCTAATAAATAAAGAGCTGAATGAGGGTCTGGTTGTTTGCGGACCTCCTGAGGCACAACGTGTTGGGTTTAGGGGGAGCAGGGGTCACTGCTGATACTCGACTGGCATGGAAATGACTTCCTCCTCTCATGCAAACGTCACAAAGAGGCTCTGATCCTAATCGCTAAGCAATCGCTGTCTTGTTTAATCCTGCAGTGACGGCAAGAATGGATTTCAAAAATCTGGTGGTGAGGAATTAGGAATTTCCAAGACGATGTTGAAGACCGGACGAGCTACAGTAAGGCTCAAAAACAATAACTTCAAAACGGAAATCTTCTCCCAGATGGCCGTTGTAAATGAAATATAATTTAGCAAGCATTTTTAGATCCATATAATAAACTGTCATCTTCCCTCTGCAAAACAACGTTTAATGGTTTTACGGTATCCAAACACTGATTACATTTAATACTGTTATGTAACCGACGTCTCTGTAAGAGACTGAGAAATAAATGTGCCGTGCATGAAGCGTGGGTGATTAACTAAAGAACCATGCCCGTGTGTTTCCCGTAAAGATTTTTAAAATTTGAATTTTTAAGGAAGCAACTATTCTATTCTTTTGTTCATTTCGGGGGGGAAAAAAACAGTGGAAGATTATACATTTTCATTTCATTTAATCGTCTCTGAATCAGCAAATGAATGAAATGCACAGTGTGCTTTGGGTAGAAACCTGCGGCTCTCCGGGGGATCGATTGTGTGAAGAGAAATTGTCCGCCATCGGCTGCATGGGGCCCGAAATATTCCGTTGGCGGTCACGTTCTCTGCCATTAGCGGGGCGAGCTCTCGGCAACGATCGGTCCCTTTGTTGCCATTAAAATGTGTGAATAAAAAAAAGTAGGACTCAAACTGTAGTTTGCTGACACAAAGTGTGTAATTATCATTCGACGTATAACTGCCCCTGCGGCGTTCTCAAAGGGGAGTGAATGTCGCCGCGTGCAGTGATCCATATCACCTTATCTCCAGTTCCCCTCGGGGCCCTGCATTCGGCGCGGAGCAGCAGGCTAATAAAGATGACAGAGGTTTGTGCCACTGTTTAAAGAGCCATGACACATTTCCTTTTTTCACTGCCCCCCCCCCCCCCAAAAAAAAAAAAACAGTGTGGAAACATCTTTCTGTCACCCTTCGTTCATTCCTGGAAATATTTGTTGTTACGTGTTGACGTCTTATTGTAAAATACCAAAGTGTCTCACTGAGGGTTCTGAGCTTTTTGGATTCCAATTTCAACCGCAGATAAAAGCAAAACGGAACAATAAACCGCGTTTGTATGTGTAGAGAAATTATTTGTGTCTTGCAGAATGTAAAATGTGCTTTAAATGTACTTTTCGCTATTCGTGTAAAGTAATGTAGATGTCTGTTTGACTGGGTGGTTTATTGTGCATGTGATGCTCAAAGGGTAAAAAAAAGTTCTGACGGTATGAAGATGGAGAGACTCCCTGATCAGAGGGCCGTGAGCGCCGGTTGTTTTTATTATGCAAACGTGTAAGCGAAGCCTTGCAATCAGCGTTAGGAAATCAAGGATTTCAATCAGTTGGTAATCACAAATGAATTGTTCAGAGATTCAGACTTATTGTTTTTTTCATCATTGCACAACAACTGACCAAAATGTTTGAATCCTGGACCAATGTGCCGCGGGAGTGAAACTGGATTTGCTGGAGGGACACAGAACTTGAGAAGACGGTGACGGCGTCCGGAAGGAAACTACTGTCATGATTCCGCTGCTTGCGGCTCCAGCGGCCTTCAAACACATGCAAAGGAACAAAGGGTTTACAGACAAAAACAACAACCAACATGCTGATGTTTACCTGTTGCAGCACAAGAACAGACGTCGCTGAATAAATCCCACTCTCACATGTGTAGAGCTGGACGTCTTCTGCAATCAGAGACTCACCTGCCGGTTCATTTTCTTAGCGGCCGGTTCGCAGGACGAGTTTTGAGGGTTTTTTTGGCTTTTCAAAGGGCGCATTAATGTAAAGTTATTCCTGCTGATGGACTCACAATCAGGGGCTGAACCCGAGTGCGGAGGCAAGATGAAGGCAGGGGAACGCTGAGGCGTTTTAATGATGCTACAATCAATCAAGGGGGGGGGGCGAACAAAGTCGACCCGCCAAGTAGGAGACAATAACTAAACAAGTCGCTGGGCCGAAGCCCCGCAAGAGGAAGTCCACTGCAGACAGAGAGCTGTAGCAGTGAGGGATCGCAGTGGCTCTCATCAAGACAAACACGCGGCATCGGGAGGCAAGGTGCTCCCAATCGTTCACGGCGGTCGCCACAGAATAATGATCCCGCCGGCCGCCGTACTGTGCACGATCAGGAACGCGAGAAATGAGCTCCGTTTGATTCCATTTCAGGACTTAAGTGAGAGTTAACAAACGCTCACGATCGAAACGCATCTTTAAACCACCTCGGTACTTTCAGACAGAGGGACGGGCGGATGGATGGATGGATGGTGTGCACACATTATTTAAACGTTACTGAACCTACACGATCCGCACCCCTTTTGGGAGTAAACAGCAGGACGTTAAGACCCCCAAAAACCCCCACAGGAGTGTGCTGTGCAGACGCACTCGGCGAGCTCTCTTCTGCACTCACACATCCCAGTTGCCCAGGCAACCCTGTCTTGAAGATTTCAAACTGGGATTTAACAAACGACGCCTCCCGCGTCTCGCCACAGTCAAGAAAGAGGATTACTGGCTTGAAGAAACACTGCGGGGTTTTTCTTTTTTGTTTGAGCGTCTGGTAACTTCGCCCTCGCCGGTGGATCCGGAGGTTAACGGGTGGGTGGGCGTCACGTAAGAGGGCAGTGTGGCCACTGCGGTGACACGCTGCCCTCTTACGTGACGCATCTAACGTAATGCACTCCTAGATTGCTTGGCTTACTGTGGCGGGGTAAATCATTTGCATAGCCGTTATATTGTGCTCTGACGCTGTCAACAGCTTTAATGGGATTTGTCAAAATGTGGGCCACAAGTATATCTGGAAAATACTGCCTGAGGCGATGTAGGAGACGGGGGTGCATCGTCTGCGTGGGCACCAAAGTGTGTCGCTTCATCCCAGAAGGAGTGTTTTCTTGCAGTAAGTTAAACTGTAAAGTTTGGTCAGAATCTTACATGCAGAACTATTTTCATGTCCAAATTTGGAGTCCGAACCCAGCGATGTGCAGCACTTAAGTGCCTTTTAATAAAACGGCAATGTGTTAAGAGGACAGAATTATGCATTTGGATTAAGAGCCTTCAGATAGTCAGTGAGGTCTGTTTGTTATGGATCTGAAACAGTCGATGGATATATAAGCCTACTTAAATGCCAGCAGATACGCAGATAGTACGTTCCTACTAAGTGAATGAGCCATTTTAAAAATGCCGCGTTGTGGCCAGTGTGTGAAATCATATTTTGAGCCCAAGCAGCTACTTCTGGTGCAGAGAAAAATGCCCAAAAGTGCCAAGATTTCAATCAAATGGCCACAAAAAAGACGGTCAATCCCCGTATCTCCACCACGCTTTGCCCATAGGTGGACGGCAGGGAGACTGTACTCAATATAGTGACGTAATTAAGTAGATCAATGGAGAATATGTACATCATATGCATCATTTAGTTAGTAAAAACATTGAGTTTCTCAACAACACAATATGTCTTTGGGATATTATTGCTTGTGTGTGTGTGTGTGTGTGTGTGCGGGGGAGGAGGAGGTGTTCAATCCAGCAGAGAGTAGGATTATGCATTCAGGTGATCCTCGTAATGAAATGGACAGCGGTGGACACGGACCGAATGATGAGATGAGCGTCGGGGAAAAGCAGCTCAGCCAGGGACAAATTAGGGAAGTGTCTCGGAGAAGACGCTTCCGTCCGTGAGAGACAGAGAGGGAGACAGAGAGGGAGAGAGAGTCACGTCGGCGGGAGTGAGAGCAGCAGAGCTGAACTCGACAGGCCCTCTAAACAGACACCTCCCGCGTTCCCCCCGCGACGGGTTACCTGGGCCGCCGCCGCCGCCGCGAGACGGCTGTGGCGCGTCTGAGCGACGTAAATGAAAAGGGGCACGGGCGTGCGATGAGCTCGCGCGGCGCTCTCTGAAGTACCCGGCCCGCCCGTACCGACTCCCCCCCGGCGGGCTCCAGGCCCATCAAGCGATCCATCGGGGGCCACTTGGTGCGCCATTTAAAGCGTAACTGACAGCCGGGTGGCGTCGCTTAAACCACGGTATTCACGCTTTCATTTGTTCGGGGGTTTCCCAGCATGCACCAGCAACGTCCGTTCTCGTCCGTCTGCCTTTCTCGAATAAAGTCGAATGAGATCTTATGGGCAGGACTATCAGTGGACGCATGGCGTGAAGGTGCAGGATGAATGAATGCATTCAGTCATTCAGTCGCACAGCATGTTTCACCGCAGCTGCTTTCCCTGTCGGCCATTTTTGTTTTCTTATGGTTACTTTTCACCAATTCTGCCAGATTAAATCATTTTCTACACATTTTGTTTTACACTATCGTTGTTATTTGGTCGAATTCGTCGTGTTTTTCGGGTTGTGAACAACAACAACGCCGCTCGAGAACTCGTTTGAGGCTTTAAAGGTTCCCTAAAAAGGAGGTTTATCTTTAGCACATCCTACGTGCGGGATGTGTTATGCATTAAAATATCCTCAAACAGAATACATCAGGATCTCGCTGCACACTTGTTACGCTTGCTGAAATATTCAGTTGATGCGCCCCCCCCTTGTCTGATTGGCCGGGCTTCGATCAGATACGAGGATTCCCCAGGTGAGCATCAACCCCCCCGTTCCACTTAAACAGGGGCTAAAATGGGAAGTCAACATTATTTAGTCAAATAAAAGTCAGAGATTAAAGAAACTTTGGCAGCCTGGTGCGGGTAATTGATTTATCATTTATCAGCGCTTGTGCTGAGCAGTGGCCACTGGAGAGATGAGGCCACTTTCTGCCAGGCGCGCCCCCCCTCCCCCCCCCGCTGCTTCCCTCGCGACAACACGTAATGCGTGCAGCTCTCTTCCAACTGCAGCCATCAATACAGCAGGGACATCTGATAGAATACCAGCAAAACACCACTCTGCAATCGCTGCCCGATTAAATGAATCCTCAGAGCGGTGGAGGAGATCTATGGTACTAAAACGAGTGTGTAAAGTGCCATGAATCTCTCATTTGTCCCACCTTGATCGGCCCAATGACACCGTTTTTCTTTTTTTTCTTTCTTTCTTCGCAAAAATAAAAGTGAGAGAGCAGAAGCTGTTTGGACTGAAGCGTTTCTGCGTGACTGCCGCTCTCTCGTTAATGAACGGCGTCGCAGCGCCGAGCGCAGGACGAAGCCAGCGTCCATTCACAATTATCTAATGCTGCTGGAATAATTATCATTTAACAAGTCAAACTCAACAGTGGGATTGCACACTGGCCACGGGCCACTGGGGAGGGTTCACGGGCCACATGATTGATCACATCACGTCGGCTCATGGACCGAACCGGGTGCTCAAATCGATTTTTTGGGACTAAAACGAAACAAAACAGTGAATTGCATGAATGATTCGGTCTTTCTCTACATTTCCATCAGCGTAGTTAATAGTAAAATTGACACAATCTCATTCGCGCAGGAGAGACACATAAAGATAAAAATGGTTCGAAATGTTGAAAATCCTTCAACTTTTATTGTAATACAAGAGCAGGGTTATTTTCCAGAGCTTTGAAAGCTTCCTCCCCAGCAAACCCTCTGAACACAAACAAAGATGCACAACTGATTTTAGGCCTGATAAGCAAACTGAACTTAATCCTCTGACTCACATCCATTGAATCACACCCACAGATTAAAAGGAGAATCTCACGAGCAAAGCCGCTGTCACGCCGCCGCCGCCGCCACCGCCTTCGTCTCTCGGTCTTTGATTATATCTGAAGCACCACGACCCACAGAGCCCCAAACGGGTGGAATAGCTGCCGGTGGGTAAGATGTCGCCTCTACAGATTGGATTTGTGTAACGTTACCAGAGACAATCACACTCGGCAGAAGAAGAAGGAGAAGGAGAAGAAGAAGAAGAAGAAGAAGAAGAAGAAGAAGAAGAAGAAGAAGGGTGCCGCTGCCGTCCAATTCAGCGTCTCTCTTCAAGCGGAAACAAATGCATCTCCTGTGCAAACTGTACATTTTTGCACATCTGTTTAAACAATCTTCACTTTCGCCGGCTGGCCAGCGATGATGATGATGATGATGATGATGGTTTCCTAACAACGTCAGCAGCGAAGCGGGTTTACTCACCCGGTACCAGACGATCTCTCGAAGCCGTCCGTCGGTTTTGAAGTTGCACTTGAGAGTTACGGTCTCTCCCACCACAACGGGAGGCAGCGGCTCTATGGTGACTGTCAAATACCCTGCAAAGGGGACAAAAAGGAGGAGGAGGAAACAGTTTTATTACAGTCGTGTGGCATGAAAACACGAGATGCATGCTTGTTGTTTTCTTTAATGCTCGGGCGAATGTCGGAAATAAAGCTTGAATTGAAAAACACGTGAAACGCAATTTAAAAAAAAAGCCCCAAATTGACCACCTGAGTCCGCCTCCTCTTTCAGAATAATGCCGTGATTCATCTTTATGCAATTACGCCACAAAGTGTAGCCCACATGGGGGTTGAGTGTCTCGGTAAATAAGACTGTAGTTGGGAGTCATTTAAGTGGTTTACTTTTCACGATTTGTTGAACACGGTGTTGAGATTCAGACACACGAACCAGAATCACGCTGCAACCGTTTGTGGAAGCACAGATGCATTCATTCTGTTTCCAGCTTCCAGCTCAACAGACGTGACAAAAATCTGCATGCGTGAATGTTTAACGTGGCGGTGACATTTGTATAGAACTCCTGCCGTGCGTTTCAAGCTTTCTTTGAGTTATAGTTGTTTGGCCTTGATTGAAAGCGGGACGTCAATACGCGTCTGAGCGACGGCAATTGAGCGGCATCGACAATCGTTGGAAGTGATTTGTCTTCCACTGTCAGTAAATATAAAGAACACAATGAAAAATGTGAAAAACAAAAAGTCTTTCATGAAAGTGTATATTAAAGGGTAAACATGCCATTTTGACGATGTCTTTGAAGAGAATGAACGTCTACAACAGTGCAGCTGACGTATGGTGAAATACGGTGTGTTTCCCATTAATATAACAGCAAATCACACGTGCATGTAAAGAACCACAAACCAAAAGCTGCTGGAGGTGCATGCACACATACACATTATCCATCCATCTACCTGAAATACATAAACATTCCACGCACAAGTGATGTGCCATTATGTCTGCCCGACATAATAGCTGTTTCAACACATTCAGTATTTAATGAGGCCGTTGGATCTCACGAAACAGATGGATATTAATGTAAGAATATAAAGCAGAGTGAAATCGGACATCGTGACCAATAATTGCGTCGGTAAAAGGACACAAAGCGTGCGACGAAGTGATCGCTGCATTGAGAAGATGACGGAAAACGACCCCAAAACAGCGCGGCTCACAACGCATGCAGAGTGGCTCGAATCATTCACACACAGTCATGACTTTCATATGAAAGTCGCGTGTATCAGTTCAATGTTACGGCGTATCCTGAAAAAAGAGCTTCTACGTGGGAGACTATGAGCCTCCGAAACAACCCACATTAGAACCAGGAAATGATGGTTCCGCTCGTCGTGATGCCACCTGGTTAAACCTTAGCAAAATGATTTTTGTAGGTTTAACTGCGGCTCTGATGACCATTATACACTCGTGGTTCCGCCGTGAGCCTCCATCCATAAAACAGTGGTTCAATCATCTCAGAGATAATGCCCTCATAGAAATGGCATTAGTTGTAATTCATAAAGCTCGAGCCTCCACTCTAGAGGTCCGATGTGTCCTCAGTGCTTCTCTGTCATTACACAGACATCGTGTAGCCATTAAATAAAGTGTAAAAATATATATGTAAAAATATATATTTGTATGATTTTGGTTGTAAAACGTGAAGGTCGTAAATTCTGTTTCACTCAACACACTGACATCTTAAAGATGACCACTTGTATGTGCAAACAATGAAGATAATGCACGACGGGCCGAATGTACAGCAAATAAAGAAAGTCCACATTTTAAAGGACGACAGTTCTGTGGTGCACAGCGGAGCCGAGGAGACGCGACCCAACCAGAGATTTAGTGTCGCCTTCCCTTTAATCGGCCGTTTTTTTGAGGAATCTGTGTTACAAGGCAACGAATCAGGATGTCTCTCGTGTCTGCGCACCTAGATATGCTTATTAAAGAATCTTAATTTAATCAGCAGGCCCAAGCCGTCTCTCTCTCGAGTGAAATTGAACGACTAAACCGAAAACGCCGACTGCGTGTCATTAGCAGAGCGGATGCTCTTCGAGAAAATCCGAACCGCTTACGACGAAGCCACGAGAGGAGCAGCGCGGCCTCGTCCGTGTCTCAGTGTGACCTCAAAAACTGTGTTTGTAACATATATATATATATATATATATATATAGATGTGGTGTCCGCTGCATGCGCAGTAAAGAACCCCGCGTGCTGCCCGGTGGTCTTGTCGTGTGGTCGCGGGGATTAATTGTGAACAATTCATTGCCTGCGTGGCACGGAGGGAAATACGGCATTGCAAAGGACAGAAAGATGCTCCGCAGCCTGAGGGGAGGGATGAGGATTTTTTTTTTAAAAGAGCAAATTACAAGGGTTATGCACACTCACATGCCAGCGAAGTTCACGTCTCCAATAATCCCTGCGAGTAACTGGAGCGGCGGCGGGCGGCGGGCTGCACACACCACGACTCGAGGCCACGATTCCCCGCGCAATTCAATCGAATGCCAACGGAGTGGCATAGTTTTCAAGCAAGTAGGCACATTTTATTTGCCAATTCGTGGTTGGACGTGTTCCAACGAGCAATGTTCCTCGCTGACGCGCTTGTGAGGACAACGGGCTCAAGTGGGGCCGCGTTTGCGCGTCGAAACCAACACTGCGTTTGCAAGCGTTTACGCTGTCGTCGCCCATTGGAGGTGACGACAGACACTCGTGATCATCCAAACAGCTGCCGCAGAGGAGCACCGGCTCTGAGTGGACACACGGAGTCTCCAATCTGCCCTCGTCAAGCCAAAATCCCCAGGAAGCTACATTGGAACTGCGCAGGCAACTCTCGCCGAACAGCAAGGCAGGTTATTAGTTTTGCCTTCGTTATTTATCGCGCTCTGAAACATTGCTTCCATTGCGAAATATTTAAATGCTGATCAAAATGGGAAAGGGACACGTTCATCTGCCTTCCTTCATTTTGCAAGCATGCAGGAAAAATAAAAAACAGCTCCAAGTTAGTCGGACAGCTTTAATTTACAACGCGCCGGTGGTAGAAAAAGGAGGAAACTTCACTTTACTGCTTTTTATATTCCTTCAATCTGTTGTATAACATTTCCAAATAGTCATGGGGGAAGTGATTCTGTTTTAAATCGATGGAGAGAAAAAAAAAGTGCAGTCTTCTCAAAACATTTCGGGGGAAGTATTTCAAAGTGCCAGGCACCGTGAACACCTTGGCTTTAGCGCAGCTTCAATTCATCCGACACCGAGACCTGCGTTCTGTTTTCAGGCTAACAATATATCGATCCGTGCATTGGAAGCAGGCCTGGGGTTTATTTATGCAGTGCTCACAGCCACCTGCCCACCGGCTTCTTCTGCATGAATCAGACGCTCTGCCTCGAAAAAAAAACCAACGCTCCCCAACACAGTGGGTGGAACCAGCAGCTTGTGTCACAAATAGCTCCAATTACTGAGAGGAGAGAGATTAGATTAAAAAAAATGCAACTTCCTCGATCAAAAGGATGTGTTCAGCCTCCTGAGAGCAACCGACCGATTTTAAAAGGACATCATTTACTATCGTGGAATGCACAAATCGTCCGCAGCGAATCGTTTTCCTCGCTCGTCCTGCGAAAAACCAAATCCCGCTCGGCCACGAGGGCCTAAGTCCTACGAGCGCTCAAGCCGACGCCGAGTGGCCAGAGAGCGCGCGCGCGGCATTTAATTGGCTGATATTAGCTGGTTTGCAGTGGCAGACGAGGCCTCTGGCTTGTCTTAATCCATCAGAGGCGCTGTTGAAACAACATCTAATGAGGGCTGCGGACGTTGCTTTCTCCCCATTAATAACAGCAATTTGCCAAGATGCAACGAGAAAACAAAAAAGACGCAGCCGATGATGGACCGGCACCGAAGAAATGGGCCCGTTATTGCGGCTCCCTGATTTATGGCTGTGGCCCACCTCTGCTTGGGCGTCATTTCATTTCCAACGCATCATCTATGTTACCTCATGTTTAATTGTTTATTTTTTGTCATCAGCGAGGTCATCGTACGTGTCCGACACGCGTGACTTAAAGGAGGGTAGCCGACATATTCACGCTCTCCGCCTTCGGGCAGCAATAACCTCGGCATTAGTAATCGCTGCGTTTAAGTCAGTGTTACCTCCTGAAAAGTCCCGCAGCCTGAAGGCTATAGATTATGTAAATGGGATTCATTTGACATCTTCGTCACGTTATTCTTTAGTAAAAAGAATTCAATAGGTGAGGAACTTTATTGGTACAGATATCATAGCGGTTGCTTCTTTGCCTCATCCTTGTAATTCTCTGAATAGAAGTTACCATCAAGGATAATTGGAGCCAAAAAGTCACTTTTGAAATTCTTGACTAATGGACCCAGCGTGGTTCCGGCTCGACGGTTGAGGGATGATAGGAACAGTGAGGCTTTTTACCCGACGTAGCGGGGGGGGGGGCTCGTTTTAAGAATTCTACATTTCAGTTCCACCTGAGAAAAAGCCTGCAGCACAAAGAGCACGAATCACATGTTTTTTCTCCACGCCTTTCATAATGAATGACATTTGTGACAGGTGGACGTACCACACGTCTGATAGGGGCCAACCGCCGACCCATTATGAAGAGGAAATGCATGCAAAGTAGCTGGCTTTTGTCCTTCGTTACTTCTGCTCTTGCTTCCTCCCTGAGATGTGGCCGTGTGGCCGGAGCCTGGAGCGTTTAGTGAATTGTGCACAGGCGATTGCTTTGACAGCTTGTGTTGCCCAATCTGTGGGAAGATCAACTCATATGTTACTGTATTCATGGGATATATTCTTTTACAATGTTAACAGACGCTCTCCTTATTGATAAACAATCGTAGTCTTGAAGCTAGCCACTTTAATTAAAGGATAATGAAAATGAAAGAGTAATCATGAGTATATCCATAAATAATTGAACACAGCCGACTGCTTGATGTTGCAGCCTTAACATTTCTGCTGTGCTTATGTATGAAGCTCTTTATGAAAACATTTTTAGAGGTTGAGAGAAATCAACAACGGCTTCAGGTCGGACTCTTCTCTTGTCAAGGCCGC